CGAGGAATTGCTTCGGAAATTTCAGGTGTTCCTGGCATAAAACCCCGCATAACGCCAGGCTCAAAAAGGGTGGATGTGAATTGGTAGCGAGAGGTCCGCACCTGTGTTCAATATTGCGTACCACATATCTACCTCGTTGACATAGGGTCTCCCGTTCGATTCGGGACCCAGCCATATTGATAATGTATGGATCACTTTCCCTTTTTCTACCTTACGCATTAATTAATTCTACTGGAAATTCAAAGGTGGTGAGCATTCTTCGGAATCTACGGGTGGATATTGCTGTCCCTTTTTGCGATTTTCTTTTCAAAAAGAATTCCCTGTTGGACTGAGACCGTACTGAGACTCATCCTAAAGGTTCTATTGATCTACTTGTATTTTGTATTTGAACACTATTTTGGTTGTGTTTTCACTTTGAGAGCGCGTTATGTGCGCCGGTGTACGCGTCTGATGCCTCTGTTCTCCTCTCCCAGCACACCTCAACGGTTCGGCACCAGTAAGTACTACTTAGTAGCTCCTTCCAAAATTACACTGGCTTCAGTAATTAGGTGTCTTTCTGGCCCCTGGCACCTTTGTGCTGAGTTGGCTGGGCAAATTCGCTGGGTGGAACTTGCACTAAAGTATATCGAGGAATTGGTTCGTTCACAAATTTCATCGTCAAGGTCCAGGGCGTCGCTGATCACCATGCCATGAAACATCGCACAAAGTCAGGCTGAAAACGGAATGGATGTGGCTTGGTGGCGGGAGGTGCGCACCTGTATTCAATGTGTCTTTCTTGAAGGTGCGTTTCATTAACATAGGGTCTCCGTTCGATTCGGGACCAAGCCATATTAATAATGTATCGTCTTTTTCTCCCGTATTAATTACTTCTCCAAGTACCAGAAATGCAAAGGGTCTTTCTGTGCATTCCTCGGATTCTACGGGTGTACATTGATACAGTGGATCGAGGAACACGCATTGCATTGGCTCGGAGTAATGGTTGGAGTTCACATTGAGGCAGGTGGAAGTAAGTAAGTAACTAATTATATGTATATGGTGAAATTATGTTTGAACTCTCGCGCAAAGCCTCGCACATGTACAACCAAGGCTCCAAACGGGATGGATGTGGCTTGGTAGCGTGAGGTTCGCACCTATGTTCAATAGCACGGCTAGAGTCTATCACGTTCCGTTGCCGTAGGGTCTCCCGTTCGATTCGGGACTAAGCCATGCATGAGTAGCGCCCAGTTTCTTTTGTTGTATCTTGCAGCAAGATTCATCCCAAATTGTCTTCGAAACAATTTTTGGCTGAACTCGAAATTGGGCGTCCTTCCGAAGAGCGCGTTATTTGCACATATGTACGCGTTTGATGCCACGTGTCAATCTCCCTTCGTCCTCTCACCTGCACACCCATAAAAGTAATCTTATTCCTGCGCCCCACTCGCTCTCTTCTCTCCTTGCTCTACTTGCTCTACTCTACATTCTACACCTCAAAATGGGCTCCGCACACAGCTCAATCACCCCCGAAGCCGCGCTCACCGCTGTCGTCGTCGTCGGCGGCGCAGTCGCCATTGGTTACTCTGCCTTGTCTCCTTCTTCCAGCTCCACTGCTTCGGCGCCTGACGGGGAATCCAAGAAGAAGAGCAAACGAAAATCTGTGGCTGGTACCGCTGCCGCTGTGTCTAGTACTGCGGAATCGACGATACCGGACTCGGAGCTGAAACCTAAATCCAAGTCGAAATCCAAGGCGAAATCCAAACCCGCCGAGGGTACCACTCCTTCGGCTTCTGCAACACTTGCTGCGCCACCGACGCTCTCCCGCTCGGGGTCGCTCCCTGGCACATTCGACAGCACCGTAGAAGAGGCGGAGCCAGCCGCGCCGGTCCGCGCGCACTCGAAGAAGGGGAAAAAGAAGGGCGCGGCGGCTGCTGGTGCTGCGTCGGTCTCTGCTGTGTCTGCTATGCCGGCCACCCCCGCGTCCGCACCCGCACTCGCAGAGTCTCTCCCCCTCCCCGTGCCAGCCCCCGCACCGGTCAACACCTCGTTGTTGGACACGGCCCTCCCCGCGGCGGCTGTCAAGGGCAAGAAGGGCGGGAAGGGGAAGAAGAAGTCGGGCGCGGCGGCTGCTTCCCCGGCCTCGGCGACTGCGGAGAAGGAGAAGGATAAAGCGGGGGAGAGCACAGATGACGGCTGGACGCGCGTCGGGGATAGCTCTGCCTCCGTTTCTGGACCTTCCGCGAGCGTTACCGAGGACTCGCTGCCCGAAGAAGACGAAGAAGACTCCGAGGCGGAGGAGATTCCCCTCTCCGGCATGCGCCCCAAGGCGAGCCTGAATAAGCCCCCGAAGCGGCCGCTCGCGGAGAGGCTGCTGCCCAAGCCGAGGAAGACGGGCGTGGATGAGTGAGTTGTTTTCTTCGACTCGTTTGGTGCATCGGCGCCGGCTCGTCAGCGCTGCGCAATGCTCTCACGGAGCTGGCGCGGATGACTTGCTTTCTATTTCATTCTGCCTTGCTCACTTCCTTTCTTTCCTCTCGCTTTCCCCTTTTGTCTTCTACTCCCCTGCCCTTGCGATGTATACTAACCCTCTCCTTCACAGTATGCTCCCCGCCTCCTCGCCGGACTACCCCGCCCTCGCGCGCGTCATGCGCGTCGTCCCCGGCGCCGGTCAACGCACGCCCACCGCTTCGGCGGATCCGCTTGAGGCCACCGGTCAATCCTCGGCCGACGACGCAGAAGACGTGGACGTAGACGAAGACACCCGCGCGGCGCTCGAGGCGCTCGCCGCCGCGGATGCTGCAGATGCTGCAGATGCGGAGCTCGCGGCGCAGTACGAACGCGAGGGGAAGGAGATGGAGATGGAGGAGCGGGAGCGGGAGAGGCTGGAGCGGGAGCGGGCGGAGGAGGACGACGGGTGGGGGATCGTGCCGGGGAAGAAGAGGGGCGCGGGTGAGTTTTTGAGGGCTTTTTTGGTTCTTTGTTGGAGGGCGGAGGGAGGGGAGGAGCGAGTGTGGGGCGGGCCGGCCTTGACTTGACTCGCTGGTGCCTGAGTGAAACGCCTGCTGCCGCGGAGGAGGATGCGACGGCCTGTCATTTATCCCTTTCTGAGGACAATGTGGGACGCGGTGCGCGGAGTACGGCGAGGGCGCAAAGGTGGCGGATGGGATGTAACGGTCCCCTCAGTCGCGGTGGAGCATGCAGACGGTGTGGGGAAGTAGGCGCTGTGGGCGAGGCAGCAATGTCTGTGCCAGTGTCGTGGCAGCGGAGGGGAGCGGGGAGCAGGTGCCCTGCCGGTGTAGATATGCGTTGGTGTTGCTCGCGTTGTGCAGGTGGCTGGCATGCGGGTTCATGCTGCTGGCCCGGGACGTGCACGAGGTGCAGTGTACGTGGGTGCGCGCGAGCTGGACTGTGCGCGGCGTACACCCTCCGAGTGAGGTCGCGCGGTTTTCGGCTCCGATTTTGTGCTACGGCGCGCGTCTCAGTGTCATGGGCTAGCGGCACGCATTCACGTCGCGTCCCTTGCTCTCTGGGGTCCCGCTTCTTTTCTGGAAGACTCAGACTCCCGCCAACCGGTGGCCGGGTGTAGCGTCGACAGCGTACCCCCACGAGCTGCGAGTAACCTACCAAGTCGGCTTGCGCTGGGGACTCTCATACATCGCGCACACTCCGTCCTCTCTCTTTCCGTCTTCTTCTTATCTCATTCCTTCCTCATGCGCTCTCTTTCGTGTGCATACTCACTGACGTCATCCTCCCCGCAGCCCAATCCCAATCCCAATCCTCCTCCTTCACCGCCGCGAAGCCCTCCACCGCAGGTACGCATCGCCCCCCCTCATTCACTCCTCGTACGCGTACTGATTAACCGCGAAACCCTCTACCACAGGTGGCCCAGGCACAGGCGCGCAAGCCAAGAAGAACGCCAAGAAGAAGGACAAGGCGAAGGAGGAGAAGGCGGCCAAGGAGGAGGCGCAGGCGGCGGCGCTGAGGGCGCATCGGAGGGAGAGGGAGCAGGGTGAGTGAAGGCGCGTTTTGTTTCGGGGGGATTCGTTTTCGTGCGGTGCGAGTGCGTTTGGCGCGCGTCATTCGTCGTTTTCGATGATCAGAGGAGGGCGTGATGCGCTGCACACCGCGCCTGCGGTTATGATGTGTCCTTGGCCGTGTAGCATCGGGAATTGGCTTCCTCTTCACACTCTGTTACCGTTCCTTCCCCGCTCATCCTCCCCTATTACTTCCACTCCCCGCTCCTTCCTTTACTTATCTGCGGACACACGTACATATCACCTCCCCCTGCTCGCTCTCACCGTTGGCCCTCTGGACGCTCATACCCCTCCTCCACACCCATTCTTTCCTTTCTCGCGGCACCCCTGCATGCATATGCATATACATGTGCTGCCCCCGTCTCCTTCGAGGTCACTCCGACTCCCTCTTCCCTATCTTTTTCCTTCTGTCCCCTCTCCCCTCTCCCTTCCTCCTCCATCCTCTCCGCTCGATCGCTAACTTCTCTTCCTTTTTCGCACAGCCCAACTCGCCGCCTCCAGCTCCGGAAAGAAGGCAAAAGTCGGCGGCGGGATGACCGCGAGCGTGGACACGGACGGCAGGCTGGTGTGGGATTGAGGCCCTTGCTGGTGTGTTTACTGCCGTGAATCAATGTCGGCGGGGAATGGGGCGGAAAGGAAACCGAGAGGAGGATGTGAGTATTAATGCGGGAGGTGGGGCGCAGACGGGACTGAGGGAGGGGAGGGGAACGGGGACGAGGGGTAGCACGCGCAGGGAATTGGAGGGGTGACGCAGTGGGATGCTGGAGAAAGGGAGGGAGGTTGCCAAGACCTCTTCCACTCTCCAAAATCCGAACCCAATGTCGACTCGCCTTACCCATGAAGGAAATATATAATACCGGATGGCATACATACATTCATTTCAATAACTCGCTTGCTCAATGCTTCTTTATTGATTCAGAGAGAGCCAGACGTGGGAGGGAGGGGCAGAAAAACCACGCACGTTTAATTAAGGATGCCAGGGACGCAAAAAGTTGACCACCGCAGGGGTCGAACCTGCAATCTCCTGATTACAAACTCCATATTGATTCCCAATCGTAGTCAGACGCGATGCCATTTCGCCAGGCGGCCATATAAGACCAAACTATATCCACCCCATCCTTATGCGAGAAATATCAGGTTTCAATTATCAACTGAAGGTGGGTTCACCTTAGTGATATTAAAAGCCCGGCTTGAATGCGGGCTGGTGAATTCTCAAGCCCAAGCTCTCAACTAGGGCTTGGCTTGGCTGGGCTGGGCCTGAGCCCGGGCCTGAGGTGAGCTATTAATTTGACATCCAGGGGAAAGTTTAAAGTCTTATAATCAATTTACAAGTGCAGGAAGTGTTATTTGATCTAATCACTTCACAATCCAGACAGAAATCTCCATTGAATTCCCATTCATGATCTTTTGGGAGGTAAGATTTGTTTTGAACTTCAACATAATATTTCCAGAACCTGAAACAAAGTGTACAATATGTGGCACAAGAGGTTAGTCCATTTGAAATGATATCGGGGGAGCTCAGCACACACCCCTCATTTCTATGATTTTCTCAGTCATTACATACAATTTCTGAACGTTCCATATACTGGCTCAGTGTTCCCAGTCATGGAGCGTGTCTCCAGACCACCCTTGTTTGCAGTTCAAGTTGGCATCAATTACATCTTGTTCACTCTCACCACACCAACCTGACAGTGACACAGAGTCCCCGCAGTGGCACCTGCATTCAATGTCCTCCCTGCTTTCAAATATGTAGTTCAATAACATTCAAGACTCCAGCCTTCTCCACTTCTCATAGGGCTCTCCAAGACATCAAGTTCTTGCCCACAGTCTCTAAATCTGTGATCAAGAGCATCCAAGAGTCAAGACTCAAAGAAGCAAGATGGTCTCAAGCTACCATGCTATGCTACCATATTTCCAACTCACAACAACCTCTCACAAGAAGGATTTGCGAAATTCTTTGTCAACCGGATTGCCACCGTCTTGGCATGCTGGAGCGTATTAGTTCTGATCGCAATAAACACTGGTCACCTGCATTCTGGTGCTTGGTCATCACCAACTACGGGAGCATTCTGGCCTTACTGTTCACCCACCATCCTCAGACAGATGGGCAGACAGAGATTCTGAACACTACTATCGGGCAGATGTTGTGCACTAATGTCACTCTAGATCACTCATCCTGGGCCCAATGGATGAGCCAGATTGCCTTTGCCTACAACTCAACCATGCACTCATCAACGGGTTATGCTCCTAATTTCCTGCTATTTGGATACAGTCCTTGAGGGGCTGCAGGGCTGATGGTGCCATTGGGCGACCCAGTGGCACACTTGTTTCTGCCTAGTCAGAAGGGCGAGGAGTTCATTGAATCTTTGGAGTTACATCAACAAGCAGCATGGGATGTGATTGTGTTGGCGCAAGAAAGACAAGCTTATGCCTACAATAAAGGCAAGCATCATGTAGAGAGCATTGAAGAAGAAGACTATGTCTTGGTGAACCCCCACTCCCTGGAGTCGGTGGTAAAGGGCACGAGTCACAAACTAATTCAAAGGACTATCAGACCATTTGAAGCCATGGAGAAGATCAACCCCGTCATTTATTGTCTGTGTCTACTGGACACCTACCCTATGCATCCTGTCTTCAACCTGGAACACCTGTGCAAGTATCACGTCTCGAAGGAGGAACTGGGGGAAAGAACTGTCTTGCTGGAGATGCATGATTACTTGGCTATGTTGGAGGAATATGTGGTGGAAGCGATACTTGGTCACACGATTCATCCCCGGAGGAACAGCAACCAGTGGATATTCCGAGTGCGTTGGGAGGGCTATGGTCCTGCCGACAACACATGGGCTTCGGAACAGGATCTCCACAAGTACTTGAAGCTACATAAACTGACTTGAGGAGAGCATGAATTCACAATCCTGCTCAGAGCGCACCCAAAGTAAAATCTGGAGGCGCTGCTCAGGAAGTCAGATAGCAGACATGAACTGGGATAATCTCGTGGGAAGATGTGCTGACAGGGTACGGGTAGCCAACAAGGAACTCCTTGGAAGATGTGCTCGGGAGACTGAAACATTTGTAGTGGATGGGATTTGTCCTGGAAAGCACACAAATATAACAACACTACACCAGCCGAGAACAGTACTGCAGCTGCAGCTGCAAAAGAAGGAGGGCAGAAGGAGGGCACCACAGTGCACAGATTGAACTCGCAAAGGGAATTGTGCTCTCATGCGAATTTTTGACAGACCAACGGCTTTCGTCCCAGCTATGCACAAGTGATGCCATGAGTCGGCAACAAGGCATTCCAGTGGCTTAGCCAGGGCATGCTCGAAGTTTTCCCCGCCTTGTGCACAGGTGTCACAGTGTTTACCTTATATGGAGTAGGTTTTGTACTGAGGACGACAGAGGCACGGAAAACAGTGCGGATCCAGCTGCCCAGGATGGGATATGCTTGTTGAACATGGCCATTTGGATGCTATAACGGTCAGGCTCTCTCCACAGGGGTGATGAGTGGATCACATTCTCGATTTCGGAGTCCGTGGGGGGCTTGAGGGGGCGTTCCGATGTAATGGTGATAGTTTCGGCTAGGGAGATTGGGCTATGTGCATCAGATGTGTATATGGGAGCAGGCAGATGATCTTGCCTGTCCACCGAGGGTGGAAGTCTGCTGGTAGCCGGAGCAACCGAGCAGACTACCCCTCGCTTTCTCTGGTCGCTGCTGCCTTTATGGTCTGTGCACGTTGCCAGAGTCACATCTGGGGACAAGGGTGGCCGTTCCAGGGTGGTTGTGAATGAAGGGGTAGAACCTGCGCTGTGACTCGGTGGATCAGATGTGTTTATGGGGGCAGGCAGGTGATCTTGCCTGTCCACCAAGGGCGGAAGTCTGCTGGCAGCTGAAGCAACCGAGCAGACCCCCCTTCACTTTCTCTGGTCGCCGCTACCTTCATGGCCTGCGCTCGTCACCAGAGTTACATCTGGGGACATGGGAGTTACAGAAGAGGTAATGTTGACAGCCTTGGGACCAAACCAGGCTTGGCCAAGGACGTGTCTGCGGTCGGTGTGAGTCAGAGCAACAGTGTCGGAGAGGGGGTCGTTGATAGCAGGGAAGACCGCAGATCAGCACTCTTTAAGACAGTTAAGAGTGCGGTAGAGGTCGATCTGCTCCAGCTCCTGCAGAAAAGTAGTCCATACTGCCTGTTTTGCCTCCGAGATTCTGCGGTAGAATGCACGTCGAGCCACTCGGTTCAGGCAGACAGTAGGCAAGTCTGCTGGAATTTATGCCACCAGTTGTGCATAGTTTTACGTAGGGCAGTGAGTTGATCATGTTGTAATATGAGCCCGAAGTGCCCGAAGGGCTGAGTAATGCTTACTAATATATTAGTAATGTACCCCGAGAGCGCAGAATATTCTAGATACAGTTCATACAGTATATAAGCTAGGCACTGGGACCTTAAGCCCCAGTGGATTGTAACATTTGACCTAACAGTCGTGTGCACAAGCTAACAAACAAGCTTAATCGCAACAGACCAGTCCACCATTGTTTCGCAGTAGAGGAGGGGCGATGGCGTGGGGTGGATTCCATTAGTGCTTCCAGGAGCACCTCGTTGATAAAGCTGGCCGCAGCATTAAGCTCCAGTGTAGAGATAACAGGGACTGGTCGTGCTTCAAGCTTGGCTGCCAGGATAGCATGGAAGACATCAAGATCCATTTTCGCAGCATTAAATCTCTTGGATTTGAATTGGACAACAACGAACTCCAGAGAGTAGTGAATTGGGAGGTGATCGCTACCTGCACATTATGATGGGTCCACTGTCACGTCAATGGCCATGAAGAGCGCCGGCGAGCAAAATTCCAAGTCAATAATGTTGCCCGAGATATGTGTAGGTATGTCCAGCGGCGTAAGAAGGAGCAGACCATAGGACATGAGGAGGTCGTGGAGCTCGAAGTCCTCCTCACATAATGGCATCTTAGTCTGTAGATCCCAGTGGGGGTGGTGTGAGTTGGAGTCCATCACCAGGAAGATCTTTGCGAGAGGGTCGAGACGGTGGGGAATGTGATGCAGGAGGCCCACACCTGCGCGGGTTTTACAGTCATTACAAAGATTGATTAGCGTAATTTTCATCTACAGTGGCGGCAAAAAATAATGAGTTTTGGTTTTTTTCAATCGTTCGACACAATGGAGAGGTCAAACCTCCAAACTCCAAGTGTAAAAGTTGTAGCCTAGTATGTCTAGAGTACGCATAAAAAAATCTGGGTCAATCGGCACAGTCGCGGCCGAGCTATGCAACAAACAGATCAGATGGGCCCAGATGCCGACACCAAACAAAAACAAAACAATAGAAATTTGTTCTCAAAAGACTACTAAGTACAAAAGTTGAGCCTAGTACTTGGTGTAGTGCCCCTTGGCATCATACAACGCCTGTACACGACACGGTATCGAGTCATACAACTTATTAATATAGTCCATACCCAAATTTGCCCATTCCTCCTGCAGCGCCGCCCATAACTGGTCACAATTCTGCGGTAACACAGTGCGGCGGCGTATGCGACAATCCAACTCCTCCCAGGCATGTTCTATGATGCTCATGTCCGGTGAGGAGGGCGCCCAGCGAAGAACTTTGATGTCGTGGTCATTAAACCACCGGTTTGCGCGCGCAGATGTGTGCTTCGGGTTGCCGTCCTGCTGGAAAACAACATCGGAGGGTCGAAGAGAGTAGTCGGAGAGGGTGCCCAGATATGATTCTTCGAGAATGCGGCAATACTGCTCAGCATTCATAATTCCATCGACGCGGTGAAGCCGTCCGGGGCCATGTTCAGTCAAACAGCCCCACACCATCACACTCCCCCCTCCGTGCTTCACTGTCTTCTTCACATTTCGTGGTTCCAATTCTTCGTGGGGTCTCCTCCGACAATACTGCTTCCCATCCGACCCAAAGAGATTGAATTTGGACTCATCCGAGTACACCACATCGCGCCAATCATCCGCGGTCAATTCCAGCATATCAGCCGCCCACTCAAATCGCTTCCTGATGTGGGTACGGCTGAGCTGCGGCTTGGCACGTCGAACACGACCATTGAGGCCGATGTCCTGAAGT